GTAGAAGAGGTTAAGGCGGTCAAAGATATTGAAGAAAGAAAGAAAGAAAATAGACAAAATGAAGGAGAGTAATCGGTCCTAGCAAATATGACAAACAAAATTAATGTTTCCCTTTAAAAGATAATGTCTCAACCCCAGCCATGATTGAGTTGACTTCATCGAAGCCTTTGCAAGAAAGGCATACAATAGATATTCAACGTTGGATAGGCATCCGAATGGACTGATAGATGGATTGATCCATTTCAAATTCTCTCTTTCTTTCCTTCTTTCACATTTCATTCATTCTATCTTTCTTTCTTTCTTAGTCACTTCCCGTTCGCCTTTTGTAAAAGGATCAAGTAATTCTAGTTGAAGGATTGGTTCCTACTGATATCTTTCGACCAGAAAATCGGCACTGGCATTGTTGCAGGGCCGTCAGTGTCAGCATCCGGCTATTTTTGATTTTTCTGTCTCAGTGTGTTATTTTCGAATCAAGGTTTTTTCCTTCCGTTATACTGCTGCTCCAGGTTTCAACCTTTCGTAAATTGCGACTGGAACTTTTGAGACTAAAGTCTCCATGAAATTAACTCAATGGTGGACACGATTCCACGATGTGATGTTGGAAATTTCACAGCCTGATTAAGAATCTGTGTTCAAAAGCGAATATGATGTCTGGGGAGTTACAACGAGGCTTGATCTATACTTCTCCTTCGAATTTAGCAATTCAATTGTTTGTTTCATTTCTTTTGTTTGCTAACGGCATATCAACATCCTTATGGGTCATATATTTAAATCAAGCTGGTGCGTAAGTATAAATATCCTGGAAGTGTTTTCACAGAGAACGGTAAGTGCGACAATGAGATCAGTAGACCTATTGAGATTGCCAAAAATGCATTTCAAAAGCTGAGGAGAGAAACTGCAAGACAGGAAGATTTATTTGTTAACAAAGAAAAGAGTACTGAGCTGTTACGTGAGATCTGTCCACCTTTACGGCAACGAATGTTGGGCGGTGTTCTCATAGATGAAGAAGAGATTCAAGGCGACGGGGATATAGTTCTATAAAAGGATGCTGAGAATATCATGAACCGAGTGTGTGAGTAACAACGAGGTTTTGGAGAGGATGTAAACAAGAAGGAAGCTTAGACTTAACATCAAGAAGAGGCACTTGAAGTTTCTGGGACACGTAATGAAAAAGGAGGGCCTGGAGAATCTGATACTCACAGGTCAAATAGAGGGAAAAAGTGAGACAAGGGAAAGCAACGAATGACATCCTTGGCGGACTTAAACAAATGGATGACAGAATGTGGTCCGGCGAGAGGTGGCAGAGGGATGGAATTTATTGAGAGTAACAATTGATTGGCAGTGTGGAGAGCCATGATCGCCTACGTCTTGAAAGGATACGGTACATAAAAAGAAATACTGTCGAAATAGAATATTCTTGAGAGCTTTGAAGAAAAACATATTTCTTATTCTGCTTTGGTCATCTCGAGGCGGTGTAATGATTTGCAAGTTAGTCTCACTAGAACAATTACAACTGAGTAGTGAGTTTGATCCTCATTGGGTGCCCCCTGCCTGGTGCCGCATCTAAGATACGTTTGGAAATCACTATTTCTTATTGTGCTTTTACAATTGAATATATTCATATTTAGTTTTTGTGAATTTACAAGTTTGTGTCAACATGCTTACGATAGGCGGTGATATGTATGAATTACTGCCTTTTTTTAAATTTATCTTTTTTTGAATACAGTTTGATTAAAGAAATTTTAGAGATTAATACAGAACAATATCATGAAAATGTTCATTCATGTTGATCATTTGATTTTGTTTGGCGGCATATCAACACCTCTATGGGTTATTTAAAGCAGAAATCTAACGCCTTCATACAATTTTTTTTACATTATTCGGACTATTGTCCTCATCTCTGTTGCCATGTTTATTACAACGTTCCGGCCGTTGCACGC